TGCATCCTTACGTTATAGCTGAATTAGAGTTCTGCATTTGCACGTCTTTTTTACGCGCCATTTCGCGTACAAACGAGACTTTTTTTATATTGAGCTGCGATGTATGAAAAATGTATCTCGCGCATATTGATTCACAGCTGCAAACTTTTTTTTTCGATACGTTATTTGTACGGCAAAATGTCAAAGTTGAGATTGCTTAAACGCTACGTTAGTGTTTCTATCAATCAAACATGATCGATGCCGTACTCCGACTCAATACTCCATTCATCTGGCCACTTTTTCAACTTCCTATTTGTTCAATATACCCGAGACCACTAAATCAATATGTAGCCATTATTTTTATAACGCAATTTTTATAGCCATAACAATTTCGGGAATAAAAGTGACTATACCCGCGCGTTATACATTTCTTTTATCACTCTCGTATCTTTTAGAAATATCAATTTATTCAAGAGTTTGTTCATGCTCGATGGATTATTATGCATTTTTTAGAGAAAAAAAAACAGAAACTGGATTGTGTGTGCTTAGAAATTTGAAAACATCGTAATAATAAATGAAAGTTGATAGAATGCATTAGTATTCATCTATTATTAAAAGTCGAAAGCTGATTTTTAGCCGGATTGCATAATCTACGAGTTTACGTCGAAAATTTAAATCAAGATCTCTGGCACATGATTCAATTTAATCTATCTCACTTCATCGATTTCACCGTCGTTGGCGAAGTAAAGTTCCGAGGTCTGTCTCTGACAGAGAGTCGGCAATTGAAAAGACCGAAAACTATTTCGCGTGTTGGGGTCAGTTAACAATTAACTGCCAAAGGTGACAAGTGTATGACATTTCCACGATCGTGTTCATCGTAACGAAAGCGGAAAGTAATTGAAATAAAATTGAAAAATAACTGTCGTGGGATTTTATATAAACAAGAGAGACGTGTTATTTGCGATGATACTATAGAAGGCCAGAGTTTTCTGTGTAACCGCAGCACACTGGATACTGTATATCCTGAAGCTGATAACATTAATCGGAGATGTAAGACTCTTGAAAACGGAGTCCACGGACGAGATAAGCGCAATGGTATATATTCTTTATAGTCATAACGCGAATCTTGTCGATAAGTGGCAAATCTAGGATAATCCCACGCGTTTCGTATATTTCTAACAAATTTTGAGATACGTATTTCTGCTCTAGTAATTGCCGACTGAAATAGCTTCTCTGCGTAGGACGGGATAATTCTATTTGTTTACGCTTAGTATGCAGTTTGATTTATACATTTCTAGATAAATTGTTTATATGTATTGTGTATATGTTTTTAAAAAACTCAAAAAATTTTTCGTAAAAAAAAATTCTTGTCATATTGATCGTGCTTTAAATTTAACGCTGTTATTTAAAACAATTATAATATTTGCATCCTTATATTTTTATTTTTTTCCACTGATATGATAAATTTATAAATACGAGAAATTAAAGAGTTAAATTTTAAATACATAGCATACTCAGCATACTTTTATCTTAAATTAACTGCATTTTCTCGAGTAAGTATAAGTCACTAGATCTTTTAAGGTGATTTTCATTATAGCAGAAATTAAATAGACACCTTTTGTGTAAGGAACTTTCAATGGACTCTTCGCTCGTAAAAAAATCTATATAAATATTTTTTTGTGGATGGAAACACAAGTATGCACTCCGATTTCGATGCTGGAACGCTGTGTGCAAATTCAGTGCTCTCACATTTCTTTTACTTTACGACTGCGCCTGGTCCGATCAGAAATCCCGAGGCATGCAGAGAGAGAAAGAGAGAGAGAGAGAGAGAGAGAGAGAGTCAGAGAGAGAGAAAGAGTCAGAGAGAGAGAGAGAGAGAGTCAGAGAGAGAGAGAGAGTCAGAGAGAAAGAGAATAAAACTTTTTTTTGGTCAAATAATCTCAATTACAATCATTTATTTTGTGATGAACTCACGGGAAATAGAACGCACAGATTCTCCTTGCGCTGAACAAAAATCAATTAACGCTGTCAAATAGATTGGGTTTCGGGTAGTCCATTTCACTACTATAGTTTATTCAATTGCGATTCTTTTAACGAAAACTTTTGCTCACTTGTGAATAAAACTATATGTTTGCCAATCAAATTAGGGAGTTAGCAATTTATATTTATTAAAATATTTTATAAATTGTTGGTGCGCAACAGTTATAATATACAATATGATTTTTCAAGCTAAAAGCGCGGTATATACATATGTATATCGTCTGATTATGTGCCGTCAGAATAAACTTAACTTTAGTAACGGTGCTAAAAATATTCATTCATCGTTTTATAAAGTATAAATGTGCCGATACATATACGATAAAAATACGAGATGTAAAAGAACGAATCTACGAAAGAAGAATCGAAATGTTGAACGCGTGGTACATTTTGCGTGACAATCCTTCGAATATAGAGCGACGAAACTTGGATATTTCGAGATGAAACTCTTGTATGCGAGATAGGCCGAGAAATTGTAACGCGTTGGGGAAAGGCTGCTACTTACACGACATTTCACGAGGTAAAGAACTATTCCGTCCGATAAGAATCTTTTATTCTACTCTACAATTATTTGCATTTTAAGTTAATTAATACTGGCTAGTTCTGCTGTTTACATAATTTGCGAGAGTAAACATTCCTTCGTAACATAGCAAAGTTGAAAAACGAGGATATATCCACCATTCGCTGCACGACATTTTCAAATATGTACAACATAGAAGAAAAACGAATTTCTTCTATAAATAAATTATAGCTAAAAGTGTCCACGGTATTCATAAAATTTTCACGTCATTTTGTAACATTTCTCTAAATTTCGCTTTTAAAAAAACATAACTATGCGTTTACATGGAATTAAAATGTAACAGGAGCACTGCTGAAACTTGTTGGAAAATCATAATTTCTGTTTTACGACCAGCCTCCCTTGCGCGTTTTGAAAGCACTGACTGTAATGTGAAACAACAACTCATGTTTCGCAAACGCCGACAGAATTATGACATCCGCGCCTATTACATCATTTTTGAGACTATTTCTCACTTATGTTTCCTGTATAAAGGGAGATAGCCCGCGTGACATCATCGATACAAGCTGTAATAGTCATCGCGATGAAATAACTCGTATCTACGTTTCGAGATACTCACTGTTTTTATCGGCAGCTTTGATTAACCGAAACCATTAAATCGCGTATCGAGTATAAACATTCTAGTGTACCGCTGTTATCGCTTCGTTTGCATAAAAGCCGTCATATTTCATTTCGATTAAGTGTTAGATTTGCTCTAAAATATTTTTCAAAGTTGCAAATAAGTAAAAGTGCACATTACAGAGTCAAATCGTATTTTTAGAAATATTCAGTTAAAGTTTGTTATTAAGTTTGCTCTTTAAAATGACATATTAAAATTAAAATGTGCGATACGCGTATCGAATTATATATGACACCTTGCAAAGATCAAACTTTATACAAACGACTAAGAAACTTAAATATTCTTCTAGCAAGAAATTTGTAATTGTTCCATTTAAACGTTATAACTGACTACTTGAAAGCAGTTATTAAACTTGTGACTTTTCAACTTTCTGCCTGGTAGAATAGCCGGACCGCAAAACGCGAGGAATAAAAGTTTGGCGAGAAGCCATTAGTATAAAGCGCAGTCGTAGTAATGGTGTTTCGTGTGTATATTGATATTACTTCCATAGCTCTTGTGTTTTAATCCGTTAATGTATAATGTAATAGTACGAGAATCAAAAAGAGGTAAAAAGCACTTTAATATATTGTACGTTTCTTTGTTAACATTTTTATCGCATTTTCCCTGATTCAAAGAATAACATGATTACGTTCATTAAAAAATATTAGGCAAAAGTACATGAATTTACAATAATTACAATCGCTAACAATGTTTAGATAAATAAATAATTATTTCAGACGTGTTATTGTTTTCTATTGAATTGTACATACTATATTTTTACAAAAATATCAATTTTTAATTTTTATATATTAACAATTTCACACGGTATTCAGCTCAAACACAAACACGTCAAAAACATAACTTGACAAGTACCGCTCGGAGTGAAAGCTGAGCTTCCTAATGTAATTTAAAGTCACAATTGCGTAATAACAGAGTTGCTTGAGTATACAGCTATTACAGTACTCGTTTACACATTGGTTTACATAATAGTTTTGTTTTACTTCCCTGTCTCCGTCTCCTCTCTTTATCTATTTACTTTTAGATATCTTTGTATTTATCTTTCTATTTTAATTCTTTTTTACAAGCTATTACATGTCCAGATACAAAGTAGTCCAGTAGAAAAACCTCCATTGTTAAAATTACACCAGTTAACGTCGAATAAAAGAAAAATAAGAATTAGGAAAGGCTATCAGAAAAAACTTCAGTTTAATTAAAACTAGTCCGTCTTATTACGAGACAGAAAAAATTTAATTTGGAGAACAAAAATTATTTATCGCGTTATGTGTTACATCGATTTTCGTGTACGATAAACATAATATAAATAAAAAAGTGCATATATACGTAATATATAACAATTATTTAAAAATATACAAACGACTCTCGAACTCTTCGGATCTACAAGCAAAATAAAAAATTTCCAGCGTCCAATTCACCGTGTCGCTGAAAGCCACTTTCTTGTTGTTTACTGATGATCGATCGACCTGAACTCGAAACCATTTTTATTTGTAGCTTCACTACTAGTCGGGAGAGTGGACGAATGAAGAAACGATAAGGTCATTTATTTCCACGATACTTTGGTCTAAGATGTTTAAACGTCTTGTACAGTGGCTCTTGTGCTTCGTAAAAATAAAAGCCAGAGAAATAAATTTTCCGATAAATTACTGGCTGTGTTTTGATCATTCTGCAAGCGCAACTGTCCGTTTACTCTTTATGTGGTTTGTGCAACGATATTTCTATATCGTCAATGATTCTTATCTTTCGCGAACTATGGTAATTAACAATATTACTGCCCAACCTGTTTCAGGCTGTATCGGATCTTCTGCTCGGTGTGTTCTGCATGCCCTTCACTCTCCTGGGTCAGATTCTCAAGAATTTCGTTTTCGGTCTCATGATGTGCAAGCTGATACCGTATTTTCAAGGTAAGCATTGGCTCAGCGTTTTTGGGATAACATAAAAATTGGATATTATTGGAAATGGACGTAAAAATTTTGCCCCATCATCCTATCATTGTAATAAGGGTAAAAGAAATTTTCGTGAATCCCCGTGCGTATACAACGTCGTGGAAATCAGAAAAATGTTATTTATCGCTTATTCTATATAAGAAAAGCTGGAATAAATGTATTAAGTAAAGGATTACCAAGTAAATGAAGATAATTGTTTTTAATTAGTAACTTAAAATCTTGTCAACGGCTGTTCCAACAACCTGTTAAAGTAAAAGTCAAAGATTTCTGCTCTAAGAAATGTATTAAATCGCTATTTTGCTAATTTAATGGTGAAAAGCACTAAATTGCTAATCTGTTAATTTACTTGACAAGCGGATAATTGTTTATCCAAGATTTAGCTCATAATCGTTATCGAAAATTCAGCTATAACAGCTACTATGACATATTTTCCAGTATTTGTTCTTTTTCAAAAAATTTTTAAAAGAAGAGTATTTTGATAAATATTACAAAAAATTAAACAGCACAATAAATTAAACAGCACAATAAATTAATATTGCCAAATAAATTTTTTGGTTTATCATATTTAATTTTTCGCAAATTTATACATTTATAAATTTCGCAAATATAAATTTCATTTTTATTGATAAACCAAATACGTATGTATGCATATATACATAAATGCTTGGTCATCAATAAAAATTAACTTTCATGTTAGCATTTCCGGAATTTTTAGTCGCATTTATGTACGTGAAATCTAGTTAATTTTGTCAAATTCATAACTTTATTATGCATAAATATTAGCATAAATGTAGCGATTCTGGTGTAATTACGAGCATTTTCTCATATAGAAAAATGTACATTTTACAGAATATAATACGTCAGTAAATAAATAATCTAACTAATCAACTTTTTATTAAAAATACAATTATGTTTTTGTGTCATATTTATCGCGTTTAATTGTACTTACAAAAACTTTATAAAGAAATATTAGATGAATTTCATATACCATGTATATATGTGTAAATAAAAATCATAAAATAAAAAATAAAGATAAAGTAAATGCGTTAGAGTAAATGGCCAGCAAATTTAAGTTAATTTCTGCGCTCGTGTAAATTAACACGCGGAATGGACTACTCGTTGTTCGAGATGGTCTCAATCTGTGGCGATGATTGTATCGATTGTGCGAGCGTCACGCCGTTATCATGGATGAAATTGAATACACCTGCCACAAAACTGATAAACTTGTGTATCCCTGTGTATCCCAATTTAATTTTCGATTTAGTTTTCCGCGGATAGCTCGTTTTCTTTGATAATTGGTTTGGTTTAATTCGCGGAGGTGACCGCGCGAGAAAAATCGGAAGATTCGCTTCTGTAATTTGTTTGCACCTTTCTCTTCCTTTCTGTTTCTATCGGAGGGAGAGAAACATTGATAGTGATATCAAGTGCAGGTTAAGACTGTACATTTTACACAGCGCGTAATTTCTGTTTTATATCTTCGAAAGTTTCTCGAAGCTCTTCGGTATTTAATTAAGAAGCGCAATTGCTCAGATGATCACGCGGTAGAACTCACCGATTTGTCATTTACTTATAAAATTAAATACGTTTGGTAAGTGAATCTAATTTCTCTTTGTCCAAGCTTGATTTTTCACTAAATAAATTTAATTTTTAAAAAGCCCCTTATTTCACAAAAAGAAATTCAGGGACACAAGAAGGTCGTGATTTTATAAATTGCCCAGCATAATAAAATTTATTTTTCTGATATTAAATTACATACATGTACGCTACGCATAATACGTAAAGACTTCTATGTACCTAATTTCTATGTAAATAGGAATTGTGTTTTATATAGATTAAGAGATTGCAAGCATTTATTATTACATTCATTTGTCTCTTTCGCTTCAATATCCATCGTGATCTAAATTCGTCGTTCCTCGACGTTCTCAGAAACATAAATCTTCATCGACATTGAATTTCCGCCTGAAAGTATGGCAATGTACATAGATACATGGTACTTTGATAAGTCAGTTGTCAAGGTATACGCGTGGTTCGCCAAATGGTTAGCCAAAGCTCTTACGGAAATCGCTTCTACTATATGCAATTTTAAGATCGCATATCAAAAGGAAAAGAGGGTAATGTTAGGGGAATGCTAAAATGCGACACCATTAGAGAAATATTCTTGAAAGCGTCCACCGTGCTTTGTTACTCTCGACGACGCCTAATGACATTTCCGAATAATGGCGCATGGGGTACCTACTAATGAATTTCTTGAAAAATTGAGTTCTAGTCTAGTGAAATCAGAGACAATTAAATTATTTACGCCCATATAAGTTATTCGTTATTTATTAAATAAATTATATAAGTATAATGAATAATAAATATTATTATATATAAATTATACGCGTTATTTATGTAAATACAATTTATTCTTAAATGCGCACGATTAATGTGTGTGTATATGTGATTTAAATCTATTTAATATTGTAGAACATAAATGGCGCGCTCAAGCCACTGGATAGATCTCTGATGTGACGATCAATCTGCTACCAACGCGATACTGAAAGAGCTTGTTCCTGTCACGCGTGATATATTTGCTAAGCGAACAGCAAATTACCATTGCGCGATGAATGCACGAGTAACTGCAGTGATCTAATGCTAATTTTCTAGGTTACTATATAACGCACAGTTCACATATGAGAATAGTAAATACATATCTATAATAATTTCTAGATTCTCTGTTGTGTGATAATATAATTTACCTATGAGGTAACTAATTACTAATAGCAATTTATCAAAAAACACATAATAAATATTGTAATTTATAAATAGTTTTCTTGCTTTCAAGAAATGTTTATATTTGTAAAAACATGGCCGTTGATGTACTTGTCAAATCTCAGCAGTAGCAATTTTTTTTTTTTTTTATAAAAGACAGGCATTAAGATATTGGTTTATTTCTCATATAGTTCACTCTTCGGAGTATTGTATATTTGAAACTAATATGATAATAAATAAACGCGCGATATATGTATCGATTATTTAAATATTTAAATATTTCCACATATCGGTTGATTATAATAATACACTATTCTCAATTAGTGTCTGCATAATGCATATAATTTAATTTATTTACATAATAACGAGAGAAATTTGACATATACAAAATATCCTCGAAATTCGTTAAATCTTAGCAGTCCCATCTCGTATATATATTTTGAGAGAGACAAAGATTTATATTTCTTATCTATATATTATTCTGTATTACCAGATACCGGATTAGTAAATCTCGTTGAATATTACTCCTGCGTATTAAAGAGCCTGGCAACAGGATATTGTGGAATTATCCTGTTCCACGAGAATAACTAATGCGCGCCGGTGGACTCGAAGTCGAATTCCCGTTGCGGGGAGAATATCGCCCCAAAAGAGACCATTCCGGCGTACGCATATTATAACAGTCGCGCGTTCGCGTTCGCGGAATTTAAACACACCACCGATGATCGTTCTCATAAAAATCGCGCCTTGAACGTTCCCCGATAAAGGAAAACGATCGTGCGTACTTCGAACTTTTATTGCGCTCGTGAGTATCTCGGGGATACTTCTTCAAGTCCATGATATAACGCGCTATTAAGTCTTACGCTTTTACGCTCTTGATCCGCCGATATATGCAAATGGAGTCAGACGTGGGATAAACGAATGAAATGTCCGATGAAATGTCCAGTATTGTTTGTTTGAATTTTGTCAATATTTTTTAACTGCCGCTTGCTTTTTATATCGCTCCGCTCTGATCTTTTGGTGTACACGGGATTTTGAAATCATATACGATACTATCGCAGTTGGAAAACTGTATATTGCAAATCGTAACTTTTCGTACACGTAGGTAATGCTAACTTAAGCGTTAGGTGTTAGGTACAACGCGAGCGTATTGGGCGAATAAAAGAAAGAATCAAAAGTATAAAAAAAATTTCGTATATATCACTATTTTATCACGGAATTTTGTTCCCGCGGATTTTCTACTTTTTTCAATGGATTGTTCACAAAGCATGAAAATCGTGGATTTTCGAGGCCACACAGACACACGCATATGTAGGATAATTTTCTTTTCAACGAAAACCTGCTTGAAATTGAAATTACATGAACGTTTTTCGTCGTGTTTGTAGACGTTCCTTTTCTCAAGACATTTTTATTATCACGGCGTAAGCGTATAGGATGTAATCGTTATTTCCCCTCCATTGTCGCGGATTATACCGGCGGTGGCCCAGTCTCGGAACGACCCGAATTCGTAACGTCCCGCTTCTCACTCGTATAAAACAGAGCTAGGTTTTAACGGCGACCTTTTACGAATAAAGTAATATAAGTACAGAAGGTTTACGTATAACGAAACCGTTCGTGAAGGATTTCCATATACGTGTACTATTTTCACGTAATGAACGAGCTCCGTGCCACGGCCGTATTAATTCGTACATTAATAATGTCGATTAATATGCGTCGGTAACACGAAATCCAGACATCTTTATGCAAATTTTTGTAAGAACGTGATCGGCTTGGCTGAAACAATAGGCATTACCGCATGTTTCGCAATGCACTGCAATGTTATTGCAATATTTATTACGACGTTCTGTAAAAAGATATAACAAGTGCCGTAATTTCTATCACTGTGTGCCCCGTTGCGGCGATGAAAGTAGCAGCACGTGTTCTGCGGCGATGTTATTCTAACAAAAAAAGAAAATTATAATTTAAGATAACTTTGTCGCGCTGCGTTTTCTTTCCGGCTTGGAAACGGAGGTATGACGTGAACGGAACCAGTGGCAAAGGTCACAAGCGTGCTAGGATGAATAGATGCACTTTTCGCTCATCTTGCTGTATGAAAGCTTATGGTAAAGTATATTCAGGAAGAGCAGCGGAAATTTATGGGACATATCGGTACTCTGGAGTGATGCTCAAAAGGACCACGTCTTTCTCGATTTAGCCAGCCAGTATGTTCTTCGTCGATCTCACGTAGCGTACATTTTCCCGCAATTTATATCAATAAAGACAAAAATGATGAAGAATTTTTAGCTTCTTGTGATATATAAACAAAATTAGCGGTTCTATAGATAACTTTGTGCGAGATACAAAGGATAGTCTAAAAAATTCTAAAGCAAAAACCGTGTAACTATTAATTACAACGTCTAAATGCAATAAAATTTTAATTTAAGTAATAAAATAAACGATACATCGAGTAATGCTCAAGAAACAGTTAATATCCACGATCGAAGATTTATGTTCTTAATCTTTTAAAGTAACAAAAATACTAGTTCTACTTCTATTTAAAGTAGATAATTCATAAAGGGAAGTTCCTTTTTGAAAGAACAATTAACCCAAAGGGTAAACGAGTACTACGAGTTAATTTCGTTAACTTTTCGACTGTCGCTACTCTGCTATGCAAATTATTTTCCGGACAAATTCCTTACATCCTCTGTTCTTTCAAAGTGCATAATTAATTTTTTTTTGGCATAATTAAGGCAAATTACCTCACAATATAATCACGCCTCTGTTTATCTACCTTTTCATAAGACATAGTAAAATTTTTTCCTAATTTGACAGTGTAAAAAGTAGGAAATAATTTTTCATAAAGTTCCAAGTAATTAAAAATGTCATAATTAAAGACGTAGTAACGGGAAATGCTTGAATGAAAATCACAATTATTCAAGTGATTGAATGAATAATTCCAAATTGAATAAAACCGTGTACAATCGACTGTGTCGATCAAATCGAAAATTTTTATGTCAAAAGAGATAATTTATACTTTCTTGAAAGTCGATACGATTCTTGAAATTAAAAGTAATTACAACGTGGTAAATTGCGCATTTTTTAAATTAAAAATAATTACAACGTGGGTAGATCATCCCAAGCAGCAGACAATGTTTTTTAAATATTTATTTTTTATTAATTATACATTGTACAATTTATTGTAAAAATAATATTTATTTAATGTTTATTAAATATTTATTTTACATTAATTATATTTATTTGAAATAATGATTTAGAGAAAATATTTATTTAACATTTATTTAATATATTTATTTAGCGAAAATGTCAAATGTGTATACCACAAAAAAAAAAAAGGCTTTCACGAACTACATTTCAAAAAGCGAAATAAAGCAAATAACAAAACTGTATACTTAATTCTTTAATTCTATATAAAATTTTGATTTAACTTTGAAATGTATTTACACAAACTTATAAAAAGTTGGAAAGTTATGATAGAAGATAACTTTCTTCGATATTTCTGCTAAGAATAAGCTAATTCCAAATTCACCAAAGAATCTATTAAAAAAAATAATGCGCCAGAAATAGAGCACTCTGTATGATTGTAAGCGGTTAAATTTCAATTTAATATTTAGTATTTTCGATTTTATTCTTTTACACAATAGTGCTACCCACTTTCGTGATGACGTTGCGTAACAATCGGACTAAATTACGATAAATGAATAATGCATTTTCCAATCAGGTGAAGGATATTCGATAAAATTCCCGTATTCCCATCCCGATAAGGATATTTCCTGTTAATAACCTTGACATAAAATATTAAGTAGGTCGCGGCCGCGAAAGAATTTCGTAATTGGATTCGAGGTCACCGAGAACGTTTTTCATAAAGTTTCTCTTTTCCTCCATCTGTGTACGATGTACGTTGTGGAAATTGTTTGGTAACATTTTTAAGTCGAAACTTCTCCATTCGCGGCTCTTGTATGACCGATAGGCGAAAAGAAAGTGGACTGTAGTAAAAGCGCTCCTCTGCGGGAGTGCATGTCACGTGCGTTCATTTTTTGCAACGTACACCGCTGGTCCAGATAGTTAGCTCCAATCCACCGGTTCTATTATTGAATGTCGTACTCCTTTCCATCATCGAAAATTGATATTTTTTGCTAACGATTGAATGTGTTCTCACTGCAGTTAGTTCGACGGTGTCCTACATCGAAAGGAAATGGAAAATATATTTCTTTTTCTTTCCTATATATATTCCAAGACAATTAAAATCGATGTATTTTTAATTTCAAGCTGAACGGTATGAATCAAAGTGTATATTACAAATCGATCGGGGGCTGTCAATACTTTATATCACGCAAAGCCGTATTAATTTTTTGCTGCCCGAGATAGACGGACTATCAAGTTTTACAAAAAAACAGCAATGCTAAAAATATAAAAGTTCTGTATCTACAAAAGCATACGATAAATTTGCGCGATAGAACGCGATGCGATTTAAATGTGATACACTTTTTTCAGCTGTATCAGTGTCGGTGGGTGTCTGGACGCTGGTTGCCATTTCGCTCGAGCGCTACTTTGCAATTTGCCGGCCATTAAAATCTAGACGATGGCAGACACAGTTTCACGCTTACAAAATGATTGCTGTTGTGTGGACTCTCAGTCTCACATGGAACGCGCCGATCCTCGTCGTGTCCCAATTAAAGAGCTTAAGCGGAGGTAAGAGAATGTTGACATTATAAATATTGCCCCGTATTTTGAAATAAATACTGATAAGCAAACAACTGTCAAATAAATAATGAGCAACTAAATAATTTCACGTTTTGTAATTGACAAGCGGGAACTGAAGATTATATTAAATTGTTTTCCTGCTCTGTTTTTCATATTAATTATTATTCGCGAATAGCTATCAATTAACTGATTGAAGTAATTCGAATAAATGTATTTTAATGTCGCATTTGCAAAATTTGTTGCATTTTTATTTGTTACAATCGTTTGCCTGGTTTGCCAGATTGAAACCGGAGTTTTTACGCCGTGCTGACATTTTCATCTCAATTCAATATTCCGACATCCACCCTTCCTCTGAGAATTTCATTCACCAGTATAGGTAGCTTATGCATATACATAATATCTACCTACTGGCATATTGAATTTTCAACAATATCAAACATCTATTCTAAAATATTCTAAAAGAAATTAGGCCGTTTACAGGATAAAATTCTGTTATAGTACATTCTTTTCGATTAGAACAAGAAACGTTTTCAATTCAGTATTTAAAATAAAATAACGAACAATAAGTTATTAATACTAGCAATTTGTTTTATATTACATATTGATTGATCATATTTATTTAATATTGGTCGCTATTCAAAATTTATTTATTACGCAGAAATCTAATATTGAATTATAGAATATTGCTCTTTGAAAGTAAGAAATCCAATCAATATAAAGCCCGCTTATTATTATTACTTTTTAACACAATTTAATTAACCGAATACGTAATAGAATACGTATATATCCATGGTTATGAAGGCAGCAATGTCGATATTTACAATACACTGTGAAATGCGTGGAATACTAATCTGTAATCACGCTTGCTTTGATGTTTCTCGAACTTGATATTGAGATATTGAAAGTCAATTGCCTAACAATATCAATATAATCGATACCATATGTGATTTACTCAACTCGATATTGAAGCAATAAAAGTCAGTTGCACAACAACATCGACATTATTACCGATTAAATGTATATATACATATATATATATATATATATATATATATATATATATAAAAGGGTTATATTGAATATAACAAGACTTACATTATTAATGTTTCGATGAGTATAAATCTCGCGTATAACATTATCACGGTAAAAAAAAATCACGTAACTTTTTATTTGTTAATAAAGTTTACAAATTGAGAAGAAGCGAACATCTAATTTTAATTAACGACTACATCCGAGCTTTCCGCGTGAAAACACTGAGAAAAAAATTGTTAATCCCAAGAAATATTTAGTTCGATACGTTCAACTAAACATTTCAACTAAACATTTCAACTAAACATTTTAGTTAGTTAACTAAATATTAATTATTTCAACAATTTATTTAGTTTCTTTAATCAAGAATTAATTAATTCAACTAATGTTTAGTTAACTAACTAAAATATTTAGTTGAACGTATCGGACTAAATATTTCTTGAGATTAATACATTTTTTTTTAGTGAAGAAATACGCGGGATTAGATCTTTCCCTATTTAACTACCGCCTGGTCGTTCTCCACCGGAAAAATGTAAAAGATTGAAATGTAGAAGCGGCAATACGATCTCTTCCTTCCTGGTTATAACAGGATTCCACGCGTTTTACGGGCGAGCATATACGGTTGACAAACTTTTTCGCACTACGCGGAAATTTTAGGAAGGCATAAGTGTCGCGAGAATTGGCCAAGCGTCGGCACTGAAAGGGCGTACAATCTCTTCCTGGACGGTACGCTGCTCCTGATACCGTTGCTGCTCATGAGTCTGGCTTACTCGCTGATAGCGATAAAACTTTGGCGCGGTCTGAAGCTCGAGATACGACAGTCATCGACGTGTACCAGAAGACGTAAGTGAAGTGTCGCTTCGATATACGGGGACGTAGATGTGACAGTACCAATTTTCGCGTCGAATCCTGCTGCGTCAGCATCACGAACGCCTTGGAAAAATATTTCCTAAAGCTGCCGCTACGTCAGTCTTATTTTATTTACGCTGATTTTGCTGCAAAATCTATTGGGCGGAGTTTACAAGAGTTTACACATCAACAAAATTACGTAACGTTACAGTAACGTTAATTTATTGATATCCATTTGCTAATAGCTGGTTGAATAACAAATTTATGAATTACGCGCATTTTGTTTTCTGTCAATATATTGAATAAATAAAAAATATATATACTCTCTTGGATATTAAAATTAAATGATACGAAATATGCATATACATTCTTTTTCAGACAGTCTGTATTAAGCACGAAGGTTATAAACATTATGAATTACAGTCGGAAGAACGGAATCTAACGCAACGTTTCGGGGTTCAAATTACAACAACAATAATGATCGAGATGCAAGAACGACGATGGTATTTGATTCTTGCGGCCCGACTTCGAGATCGCGGCGGGGCTTTTCGTCTTCCTCGAGACACTTCCAAGGCGCTTCTCAAGGTGTACCATCTAGGGTGAGGAAATACTGAGCAAACATCACCTTGAAATAGGAATTCAGATTATCGAGATCTATGTTATGCAAACCGAGGAAACCAAAAGTCGAATGCATTAATTGTTTAAATTATTTAATCTATAATATTACTCTATCTTAACTCTGCAGTCGTAACATTGGACTTGTATAGAATCCAGAAGTCTAAGTGATAAATTGTAGAATCGAAAAACATTGATAAAATTATCTTTTAACTATTTTTTATATAACACATACATATTTTAATAAATACTTCAAATTCAACATATTATACAATTAACATTATTTAATTATACATACATATATTTTTTTTTATTGCAAAGCTTAATACAGTTAAAATGCGTGACATTCAATAAATGTATAAAAACATATTTGTATTAATAATATTGTAATTATTCTCGAAATTAATACTGAATGCTATTACTTTCATTACCACTTTATTAATCCACAACAAGACCGCGGTTCGACTGTAATTTACGGGGGTGATCAGTGTGCATTAACTTCCCTCGACTAATTGAGATTTCACGAGCCAATAAAACGGCCCGCGGCTAGACGTCAAGATAAATTTGCGCAATTAGAATGGCGAATTAAATTGTCTGTCGTCTCGAGAATATTCGCCGGCAGCACGTGTAACGGTTAACCGAGACATCGCGTTTCTCTTCCTTCCTTTCCAAAAAAGAAGGTGCGGTTACCACGGACGGTCGTCTCCAGGGTGCTTACCGGCAAGTGTCACAGTACAGATTTGTCCCAGGCATCCCGGATTCAGATACGAGCGAACGGAAGTGGCTGCTTAAGGCGAGACGCGAAGGATATCGCGAACGAGGATCAACAAGACTCACCCTGTCCGCTCACCAGGCAACACGTGATACGCAGTAATTACATGGGGAAGAGCATCGAGGCGAAGAAGAAGGTATGCACGGGAGGCTGATTTATCGAATTGGATTGCATTCCCGGCAGGGGGCAGGGAGCGAACACCCATTTCCGTATCGAAAATTTAATGCAGGATCACGTGTGCGCCTTCGCATGCATATAAAGCGCGCATTGTAAGTTCCCTCATAGCGTTCGGCGGCGTTTCTCGTTTCTAGGAAATCGTGGGATCTGGAGCAGGCGTCGGAAAAAACGCGTTGCCTAGCGGTGCACGCCAGGCCGCCGTGATGTTTATCAGCGCTTCGTGGCTGTATTAACCTTTTATTATCCACTTGGTGCGCGGCTCGCTGCCAAACAATCCTATATTCCTACTTTGCAAATACGACCCTAATAGTTTCCATACAGTTGCACGTAAGACGATTTAATCCCGCGTACCGCGCGCGCGCACACATGGACGTTGGTCATGCCATGCTTGCTTGCTTGAGGGAACCGACAATCGCGGTAATACCGGAATACACCCCGAGACAGTGTCACGCTTATCTTCCCAGCATGTATCCCGGTCAGAAACAACATTTATACCCGAGACAAGTGACTGTACTTGTCGCGCGTCCATTAAAGCGCGGCTACCGCTGGTGTGTTGCAGGTGATCAGAATGCTCTTCGTGATAGTCCTCGAGTTTTTCGTGTGCTGGGCGCCGTTGCACGTGATCAATACGTGGTACCTGTTCGCGCCCGAACTGGTGTACTCGGTCGTCGGTAGCACCGGCATTAGTCTGGTGCAGCTGCTAGCCTACGTCTCGAGCTGCTGCAATCCCATCACGTACTGTTTCATGAACAGAAAATTTCGCCAGGCGTTCCTCGGCCTCTTCGACTGCCACCGCTGTTGGAGGTAAAATCTGGAATATCTAGATGAAAACGTGTGCATACATGTTCACTCGGTTACAGCAATTTAAAGGAGTTATCACAACGTAAGGCGAAGCTTTGCTGTGCAAATCTGTCCTCTTTACGAGTTGTACCCAGTTGGCTGACTGCGCGCGGGATTAATTTCATGAAAGATACGTCGAGAAGTACCCGCGACCGGATAGAAAGACTTGCAATTACGTAACAGCAATTTTCGCCTTAAACCCCAAACTTGCTAACGCACTTGCTTCGCTCCGCTTTCTTAGACAAAAATCGTAAAGTGGCGAAGTTTGTTCTGCAAAATGCTCCTAAATATAGAGAACGGACTTAAAATTATGAAATACAAAAGTATGCGCATTAAAGTCTTAACGCTTTACCAACTTTGCTGCAAAATATTTTAAAAGCCTTTCGACGAAAGGGGAGAATTTATTAACTCAATTGTAAAATTTATGGGAAAAGTCGCATAAATTAACATTCAGTACAAACGTTCGCGTGCGTTTTATTTTAGGGTAGGTTGCAGACACAGCGACATCGCAATGGCGACCACCGGGCATGCCGGGCAAGTTGGCAATAACAGCGAGTTAAGTGTAAACGACTCAACAGTGTATCTAGGCAAAGCGTCTCTCGTCGCCAGATCAGGTATCGTCGCCCTGCAAAATTGATCATTTTATTATCGTCATATTATATTCCCAGACCCGGTTGCAACACTAACCCAAATGATTCCATTATGATAACATGATATTACACGATACCATGTATATAACAGCCAGGATTACCTACATCAAATTATCATAGTATTACGCGATGTCGTAATATTCAAGATTTTCTCATTTTACTATGTGATATTTTAGAAGATTTCTTACTTATTTCAAAATTAATATCGGTTAAATTTTATTCATGCCTGAACAAAAATATGTATAAAGCAGACGTTTTCCTTTCGTTTAGCCTGATTAATAGCTCCCTATTACTAAAGTACAAACGCGTGATCGATAATGGTCCGCCGCGGACATCCGCTGGTTCCTCTGTGGCATACGTTAGAGTTCCAGCGATGTAATTTCCACGATACCGGTTTACATTAACCATGTACATATATACCATACGTTTTCCTAAACTTCTGAATGAGCAATTAGTCTTGCTCTAATTCCTACTCGTCTGCTTACTTATTGTATCTACCTCGTGCGAAAATGTTCTCAGATAGTAAAGTGGCAATAAAATAAAAAATGCAACATTTAATACTACTTAATACTTAATACTACTTTAACAGATTGTTCATGAATAATACAAAAATGTAAAAGCAGTATTTAAATATACATAGTATTTCTATAAAGCTGATATTTTAAATTGACGTACTAAATTAATAATTAATTTTTGGAATTTAGATTTTTATGTTGCAAAATATAAATTAAAGTGAGAAAAGTAGCGTGACATACAAAATTTAACTAACATTTGTGATGCTTTACGATCGATTGTTCGTACTTAACAAATGTTTCTATAGAAGAGTGTGACGAGAAATTTGGCTTTTGAAATATTGCATGACTATATCTAATGGTGAATAGATTTGGCAACTTAGAATCGTGAATTAACGTGGCGTTACTAAAAAAATGAAAAAGTCTTCGCTGACAATAAAAGAATCTGGTAGTAATTTTTAATAACTACGAATTTAGATGCAGCCACATAAGTTCGAATATTATCATATATAACTGTCGTGATAGTTGATATGTCACTTAAGCGGATTGTACGTGATGTAATGGACAGTGATGATTGAATTTCATAGAAACTATAAGCACTGCTTATCCCGAGACACTTCTATTCGAAACTTCGTGGAGATAATACCACATGATTCTCTATCTCTCTTTCTCTCTCTGTCGATGAATAAATGCATTGTCCCATTCTCATTCTCGAAAATCCACCTAGTATGCATTTCGCCATAATCTTTATTTTATTTGTGTAAAATATTAACTCGTATAAAAGTGTATGTGTATGTGTGTGTGGAGAAATAGTATTTACTTTCACGAGTGGTTTTCATTAAAGCTGTAAAAATCCGGATAATTTAAAATCCGAATTATCTGAAATAATTATTATGGGATTATAAAAAAAGATCCAAGTGTGAATCTTAATTTCTAAAATCAAATCTATGCAGATTTACGAATTTACGAATTCTGGCAAATACAAATCTTACAAATATATATCTTCATCGTATATCGATAAAGAGTACAAAAATGCAGAATATTTCTTATCGTTTGATATATGTCCCAAATTATCGCTCGCATAAATCCGCGAGCTTATCGCGCGAAATAAATCCGTTAAGAGTTGGATTATCCAAATATATATATCTGAGCGCGAGTAAACGAATAATTATCTCGGATTATTTGGATATCCGCAAAATCCGGGCAGCATTCGTCTCTTCACGATAAAGAAATATTATTTCAGAGGTGGTGCGGTTGCTGGAGGAGGAAGATCGCGTCTAGTATAAGTCGTGCGGATTATGCGACGTGGCGGCACGACCGAATGTATCTCTGTTCCAACCCCGCGAGAAGGAGGACTTTTTTCTGAAAATATCCTGGCGACCACCCGTCGACAGAATCGCTTGTCGCGCAGACGGCAAGGAACCCGCGCATGCTGGCCCGTCTCATTGCTCATCGAGATCTTCCTGCGTGGACAATCTCAACTTCCTTTACGGTTGACTGAAGTGAAACGTTGACGTGATTCCCAATGTTCTGTGACGTATGTATGTTTGGCCTAACAGAAACTTCAGATCTCATTTTTTAATAGTTTCAGTTAGTTCATAAAAATCAGAATGCATCTGTATTAAGAAAAAAAAACGCGTTGCGTCTTTTCGAATTCGCGTCGAAAGTTATTTTTGTATTCTGCGTCGAATTGAATCGTTCCGTGCGGCTAACAATTTAAAAAATTAGCATTTTTGTACACATTAATCGATGAATAATGAATAGAGAAGTTCGTCTTACAAACATGTTAATAATTCTATACGTGTAAAAAAAAATTAATTTATCAAACGTGTTATATATACCTTAGCAAACTTGTAAAATTGTTCAAATTATTACTTGTCAGTAGATCGTTAATTATAATGAATCAATATATATATCCGTAACAACGATAATCTACTCCAAAGTGATAGACGCAAATATATTTAAAATTGTATTTTTGCATCGCAATTTTTTCTTATCTTATCCCTTAAGTATGATGATAATACGATAACGCTACAAATATTCGCGATATCGTAAAAAAATGCCGTTTTCAGAGAATTAATAATTAAGCTAATTTTACGAGATAATGTATGTCTTATACGTTTGCATTAAAAAAAAATAACAAAACGCTTTGGGCACTTTCGCAGGCGAGCTCTTAAACTCGGAGCCGTAAAATATATATTTATCCAGTAAACACAGTTTTATGCGCGAAAGCACAAACACAGTTATGCCATTTCTGCTTAACGCTTGCTCATTTATGTTACTTACGCCAATTTCGAGAGATGATTTTATATTTCATGTTCGCGCGTAACCAGATTACTAGATATTTTACATTTATTGCAATTCCAGCATAGACGACGTTTAATTCAATTTCCATGGGTTTCCCGGCGAAAACGGCATAATTTTGCATTCCGAGAAATGCTTTGGCGCGTGGCGTTCAAGAATTTTTGATAAGGTGCATTACTCAACGTAATTCATATAGAAATATGCCGCATGATATGTAGTTCCCATATCTTTCATCGTGCATATCTTTGATACACCTGTTGCATACGATTCATGGATCTGTCAGAGAATAACCCTTAAATGATAGCATGAAGTATACGACCGCATTACTTGGTCGCATGACGCATCAAAGCTGTACTCGCTGCTCTCTCATATTTATATGATGATACTTCAATGCATTACTGTTTATTGTTCCTGTAATGCAGGCGTTTCTCGTGCAAATCCATATTGTATTGATTCCATGAATCGTAGCGTTCTAAAATGTACTTCACTTCTATTAAATTTATCGCTATTATGCTTCAACGTACGTTTTAAAATATATTAACAAAATATTGTATAGTAAAAAATATTTCGTTATCTAAATATCAGATTTCGTTAAATTTACGAAATGGTAAGGAATGTATTAGAGATAAGGGACAAATTTTTAAACGATGCATTCATCGAATAACTGTGTTTGCTTCGATACATTTTTAAATCAATTTTATATAATGTTTTAACTGTAACATATGTTATTTACTTATCAAAAGGATTTAGAAAGATTTATCGTATCTTATAAGTACGTTTCTTTACAAAGCTACCGCGTGCGCTCGTTACATTACATATAAGAGGATAAAGAATACTGCGTAAATTATATAATTACATAAGATAAACGTCGCAGCTCAGCAGCATTATAAAATAATTATTCGCCCAAAAATGCAGATTACATTGTAAGTAATAAAATAAACCCCACGACGTTCTACATTCCTCTGAAATATTTAAGAAACATTCGAAAGTTCTTCTTGCGAAATGTGTTACGAAATAAATAAGATTTGATCGACTTTACAGATAGACACTGTGCAGAGATGTTTAATAAACTTTTTTCAACACAATTCTGCAGTCTGGATTATTTTTTGATCAAGCATTCTTCTTCGCTCTCTCCTGATTTTATTATTAGACATGTCCTTCAGTTCTCCAACTTTTCTTACGACGACGACGCTAAAGAAGTGTTTCATTTTATTGCTTGTGCGAGTTGATTTCTAGGTATGGAAAAAGTTTCCGCACTTCCGAATGGATTTTAAATCAAAGAACAAGCTACAACTTTTACTTAATAAAAAGCTAACAATGTAAAGCGCATAATGAATGCGGAATAATATTATAAACGTTTCATTAATGCTAATTTAAGTTAATCCTTAATTAATGCTAAGTTAATCCTAATTTAATTATTTTAATTATATTTGAACATATTTTATTCCCTCATTAAATTTGGTCTGACAAGTAAATATTTAACGCTAGGCGTAAAGCAAATCAAAACAAAATTAATTATAAAATATATACATATAATATAGCTTTCTTTTGTTGCGCAACTATCAAATACAGAGATATCTACAATATATATTTGTTTGCATGCTTTTATCTAATTTTTAGTCCAAGTTGGTTTGTCAACCGTTATATGCTCGATGTTATCTGTGGCGGTCAGCCGCGCGCCTCCGTGTTACTTGACGCGCGCTTGTGGCGGACGGCTGACCGCCACATTATCAAAGGGTATTTGTTGTCACTAGAAAATTGGTTACAAACTGCAAAAGGGTTTTTGCATCGTGCGTTTGCCGGGGATATATCACGGAACGTAATATTTAACAGAATATAAAGTAAATTTTAAAAAAATTTACTGTCCTTTGTCATATCACTCGTCAAGATATGTATAATATGTACGTTCGATAAGTCAAGCAATCGTGGAAAGGATTTTTCAATTATTTTTTTCTCACGGAAAAGAATAATGCTGAACTCTGAAAATTAATAAAAACTTTAATTGAAAATTTCTCAGTGGAATTTAATATCGAAGGATTCCCTCAATTTTTCCCTATACCGATCGTCAACTCTCTTTCTCTCTTTCTCTCTCTTTCTTTTTACTTCTCTCTCTCTCTCTCGCTCTCTCTTTTTTGGATTAATAATTTTTACTGAAAAGCTTGTGGTAAACTGGGTTATACATAAACGAGCATGATGAGGTCTTGTAAGCTCAGGGAACGCGATATTGCCCCATATGGGCTATTTGATCTCGTGTCTTATCGATCCATAAGGGATTTACTCCAACACGAGTATTAATCAGAGGCCGGTTTCACGAAGCAAAAACCCGAAAACTACATCACGTACCATAATATACGAGACATCGCGTGCATTTGTCGCTTTAATGATATCTAATTTTGTTCTTGTGACGAAAAGTTCCGCGAGAACAAAACGGAAATAAAGTTATTGAATAAATTAATTAACGAGACATGTGAGAGATAGCTCTCGTGTTACTTCCGCGGCTTTTTATGAGTTTCAAAAAGTTCGGCATGGTGTCTGATGCGTGATGCGAGTAATAAGACCTCTCGGGACATTATGCATAATGCATTACGGTTTTGCGATCGTGTTTCACGAACAGTTGTCGTTCCGAGGTCGTTACTGTTTATGAAAATTCTCTTTACTTCATGACAGGTTTAGTTCGATTGCATTAGCTGAAATTTCTTCTCTTGTGATATAAACTCTAAGTTCAGTAATCTCATAATCGAAACTCTCGAGACGCAAAATTGTACAAAGAACCTCTGCTCTTATTCATTATATTTTCTATCTGTTTTACCGTTCTTGAAAATGCCTCTGATTGACAAGATTAGGTTTTTTCGCCGTGCAATGAATCAAGAAAATCAGATATTTTGTAACTTATATAATTTGATATCACATTTGTTTCTTTGCGCGCTGCATAAAAATATACATAATTCCTAAAATCGATGTTATAAATTGAATACGTGTGATGAGATACGCACGTTTAGTTAATACATTTAATTAATTCCTGTCATCATCCCTTTTCTCTCATTACCTATTTCAGGTTATTTATGCGTATATAATTATAATTATATTATGACATTATGCGATATGTAAATTAGAAAGCTTGCCGATGAATTATTCGATTATCTAAAATTGGCTACAAGTACTGTTGTTTCTTGCAGAACTTGTCATACATTTTACATGAGAGTCGGAACAATAGAAAAACCACTTTAATTTGCATTTTGAATTAACGCTTGAAGTTAACTTGACCATTCAATAGTGTAAAACCAGATTTAATATCGCTACTATCAGACAGCCATTATTTAATCTGTCTTTAGGAAACATATGCTTTATGCAGCTGCATCCCCGGTACGCCTTTAAATTTATATGACAGTCGATAGCAAATTGTTAACACAGTTTACAACCAATTAGTTATCGGAAAAAAATACTGTTTACTAAATATACTGTAAATTAACATAAATCACGGGCAGCAAACTCACTCATTACATATACATATACGTTTATATTTCGTATGTGTGATATGTATAGATATTATATATGATAATTAAAATTTAATTATTTCTCTAAAAGTATTGAAAGTTTACGATATTCTTCAATATTTACTTGTTTGCGCGTAGTTCAAAGATAATCAAATAAAATACAATGTCGTAATTTTAATGTAACATAATACAAAATTATTCCGTAAATGAAGAACACTAATGCTATAATTAGTTCACATTTTAGTTTAAAAATAATGGGACAGAGTGTCTCATTATCTATGCAAAACGAGCAGCTTAATCCTCTTTCCCGTTACCGACAAAAAATTTATCATTCGAACAGCAGGAAGGAAGAGGAAGTGTGCTAAAAAAGATTTCCTATCTGCGCGCATATATATCCTTGGAATTCTAAAGACGGTTTATATTGAGAGATAAAAATCACACACACACACGCGCGCGCGCGCGCGCGTGCACGCGCTCACGGAAAAGCATCTTCATTGCAATCCACCTCTTTTTTCGTATTACCTTATAATCGACTTCGGCTTACCCCTTCACGCTATGCTTTTAGAATTCACATGCATTTTAAAAAAGGTTAAATTGCTGTCGGAAATAAGATAGTCCTTTTACAAAGTATCAACCCAAGTTTTCCAATGAGTTAATGGTATTACCTTTAAAAGCTGCATGTGATTTCTTTATTGACAACCTAAAAGAAACAGTGAAATTTTTCGAACCTTTTACCATCAAATAGTCTATATATAATATTCTAAAACAAATGTTATTAGATATTAATTTCTAACATATTAAGTAAGTAATTGTAAGTTGATTTATTTATAAAGAAGAAAAAGATCAAGAAATATAGTAAGTTTTATTTTTGTGCAAAGTTACATGTTTCTTGCATGTTAAAAAATTTAATTAATTGCGATATGTGTCGTTGACTCAACAGGTTTTTACACGTTCTGTTATTATATAGTCAACAAAAAGAGTTCTATATTCTTTAAACACGATTTTTCTTTAACTCTGCATAATTATAAAGTATAATTATGAATAATAAATGATATAGAGTCTACTGGATTATTCAGAAAATGTCGTGCTGATGTAGAAACTTTGAGTTTATAGTTTCTCATTGAAAAGGTTAAGAAATTCTGAGAAGATAAGATTTCCAAATTGCGCGAAAGATAGCAAAAGATTGTGAAACAAAACGATGGATTATTGATTAGAGATACGTATAACAATATTGCCTTCGAGTGTCTTTAAAGGATCGAGAGTCTTTAAAGGATATTTCGATTAAGGCAATACGTTATTTTAGACTACGTCACTTAGATTTAAATTACTATGCAGACAATGTGCGAATCTGTTTTAAAACATCAAGATTCATCTGCTGTTACGGTGTTTCAGCCGGGCGTATCCGATGTATATATATCAAATTGATTTACTGCAAGCGAAGTGCTTTTTCCGACCTTGCGACTTGTACGGTAGATGTGGACAACCTTGATATCGATCGGCTTTAATTCAGCTACAGTACCCAAAGTAGAAAAGTAGCAAAGAAAATGCAAAGTATATATGTATATATATATTTTTTTGTGATCTGCAAAAATTTTTCAATAATCCCCTTTTTCAATAATCCACATTGCATATATATGTATATATTGTCTTTTATATATATATATATATATATATAATTTTTCAATAAGAAATTGCAATTTTCATTATAAAAGATTCTCAATAATAAAAAAACCCTGGGTTAAACTATAAAGTTTAAACTAATGATTTCTCAGTGATTGTTTAAAACCGTTCATTTATGCAAAATCTGAAGTATTTATCTGCATATGAATCAAATTCTGTATATTAACCACAATCCGAAATGATTTATTGCAATACATCCACTTTTACGTACGAATCAAGAAGTATTAATCCGTCGCTATAAACAGCGGCGTAACTTTATATATTAATTTCCGCTGTTTGATGTTAAATATTCACATACGTTAAATTAACGCAAGGCATTTATTAATTGCATGCAGGATAATCCATTTACGTGTTGTGCAAGTATCGACATAGAAAGATTGATTATACGTTGTCTACGTATAATATATTTTAATTATAAAATTAATTAACCAAACGTTTCGCGATATATATCCGTAATTTATTCAAGTTCTGATCGGATCGTTGAGTATGTATTAATGTATGTATTCATAACACTATTTGCAAGAAAAAGTGTATCAAAATGTTTAGTAGTATTATACTGGAAACGTTTGATGTTCGTCAGACACAAATTCAAATTATAGCAAAGTAAACACATGAAAAATTATAGATGTTTTATTTAAATTGATCGTAGCTCTCGTTTCATTACGTAAATTTCGCGTGACATAGAAAAATAGGTACCTTTTTCTCATTGTTATTTACGAGATTGCCCCTTTTGCGCATCTAATGGCAGATAAAGTTGCTTCAATTTATGACGTTGTGCGTTCCGCTTCGAGTATAGATATTTTTCAGCTCCGATTGAATTTCACTTCTTTTTATGTCGTTCAATTGTCTGAAGCAATTACGTTTGACGAACTGTATACGCGATGTCTGTGCCTCTGTC